TATGCAACGAGACTGAGGAATTGGGAGAATGGAATGAAGTCTTTACAGGAAGCAGGGTGCGAGAACGTATAGTCCAGGTTGCTGTGGGAATTGAAGGCTTAAGAATGGATATTCGTGGGCAGTCAATACCAGAAATGGAAACAGAGATGTTGAGGATGGGAAGGGAGGAATCAGGGATAGACCAGGTGAAAGTGAGGGCGGGTGGAAATTGGAAGCAAAATCGATGAACTTTTCCAATTCTGGATGAGAGAGGGAATCAACGTTGATGATATCATCGATATATTGGAGAAAACGTTTTTGGTGGGGCCAGAATAGGACTGGAATAAGGAATGTTCCGCATATCCCACGAAGACACAGGCATAATTGGGACCCATACGGGTACACATGGCTACCCCTCTGACCTGAAGAAAATGAGGTGAGTTAAGAGACAAAATGTTGAGGGTGAGGACGAGCTTGGCCAAGTAGAGGAGGGTGGTGGTGGGTGGGGATGGTTCAGGCCTTTGGTCAGGAAGAAGTGGAGAGCCCTGAGACCATCCTGGTGAAGGATGAAGGTGTAAAGGGATTGCACGTCCATGGTAAAGAGGAGGGGGCTGGAACTTGCAAACTGCAAATTCTGAAACTGGCGTGAAGCATCAGAGGAATCACAGATGTATGTGGGCAAATCAAAACTCTTCCACTCGAGTCAATTGCAGTCATATCATCATGAAGCAGTTGCAGGATTGTAATGAAGTTGCTTCTACATCCTTGTTTGACATCATTCTTAGAGCCTCTTGATTTACTGAATCACATCAGGATGAAGTATATAATAAAGATTTCCTGGTGTTGCTCTCGACCTATTTCTTGGATTTGTCTGGCAGCAAAGACAATGTTAGATGTTCCTCTGGCCACATGTCTCTGAGTGGATTTTGCAAAAACAGGTAATTGAGGAGAATGTGTATTAGGATTTTTCCTGATATGGTCAAGAGAGAAATACCTCGTGGTTTTGACAGCATTTATCCTTGTGGAAGATAGTTTAATTGTCTCGTTCCTGAAGCCGAGGCTAGTTCCTTTACCTTTCAAAGCCGAAGTCCACCAGCTTTTAAGACCTTATCTGGAATACCATCAGGGCTATACATTTTTATTTGTTTCCCACCTACCTGTTGCTGCTCTATCATCATTAGTGGATCATTCATGGATTCTAAACAGGATCCTGGGGGCGGGTGGGGGTGTGGTGTAGCCTGGAGAGTATCAGCTGTCACAGTTGATTCATGGTTGAGAAGTTGTTGGACATGATCTTTCCAGCATTATGGATAGTAATATCATTCTTATGAAGATAGACATCATCCTGAGTACAAAGGGAATTTTGACCATTTGACCTTGGTACATAGACTGCTCTAGTAGCTTCAAAAAAAACTTCACCTATCAGTCATCATACTGTTGGGACTTTTTGGACTTTCTATTCACACAACTTGACTTTTAAGCTACAGGGTGTCAGTCTTGAGCTGTTGGAATGCTGCATTTCATTTTCAGACCTTGTTTTTTTTTCTGCCAGGCAATGGGGGCTGCCTGTGTGTATTCTAGGAGTTTGCATATTCCTGCATTGTTTTTGTTGAGCCAGTTCTGGTGACAGTGCCTCTCCAACACAATGGGTTGGAGAAAGGACTTGGTCCCACAGTTCTGAAACAGAGTTGGGTGTGTGAAGGCTTGTCAGGTTGATTATGAGCTGCTTTGGGAATTCCTCTCTTTGATTGGGCTGCTTTGGGGTGGAGACATTTACCTCCCTCCTCTGGGACCTTTAGATCTTGTGATGTCTTGGTGTTAGGTCAATGTTCGTCACTGATGTTCTGCCCAGCAGGTATCAGTCCCCTGCATGGACTGACTAATACAGGCATCACTTAGAGCTTTGACTTGAACAATGATGTAATCCAGGAGATGCCAGTGCTTTGATCTAGCGTGCTTCCATGTAGTTTACTATTTACCTTTTTGATAGAAGATTGTGTTTGTTATATTGAGGCCATACTGAGCACATTTGGTCAGCAGGAGGACACCAGGGCTTCTCCCAAGGTGTGTTTCCCCATTGTTTCCTCGCCGAACACCAGAATCCCTGCCAACCCTGGCATTAACAACTTCCAAAAAGCATGACCTAGATTTTCCTTGGGATTGTGAGGTGAATGGACATTCAGCAAATAGACTGTTTGCAATGTTCTCATCTAAGTATCAGTAAATAAAAATAAATGTTACCAGAAGGAAGGAGCCTGTATTGGTTGAGAGTAGAGGCAATATAGAATCCCTACAGTGTGGAAACAGGCCCTCTGTCCAACAAGTCCACACCAACTCTCAGAACATCCCATCCAGACTCATCCCCCCATAACCTGCTTAATTTACACATCCCTCAACACTATGGGCAATTTTCCATGGCCAAACCACCTAGCCTAGATATTTTTGGACTGTGGCAGGAAACACACACAGACACAGGGAGAACATACAAACTCCACAAAGACAGTTGCCCGACAGTGGGATTGAACCCAGGTCCCTGGCACTGTGAGGTAGCAGTGCTAACCACTTAGCCACCATGCCACCCCTTCTCTTCCAGTGTTATAGCCTTTCTTTTACATTCACGACCCACAATTTCATCACCAGGACACTTCTTGCTAACTTTCTTGTCACTTTGTCATCGCATTTTGTGGGTAACACGGCAGAATTTGCAGAAAAAGCAGCAACGTACCTTTCACAGAAAGCATGATGATCATGTGATGCCAGCATGCAGACTCTTTCAGCGCCTACCCATTGTGCATGCTCAGGGCAAAGCCCATGAAATGATGTGAAATCGCATTATAGCCAAAACAAGTTTGTGTTTTAGAAATAACATTCCCCTATTCATCAGTCACATTATAGCCAATTCATGTTGCCGCGATACGTTTTATAGCAGAACCCCCTGTACAAGGATGTGTACAAGCAGGTTATGAGGAACTTGAAATGTTAACTGTTTTATCAACAGATGCTGCCAGACCTGAGTTTCTCCAGCACCACCTTCTTATTTCAAATGTCTGGCATCCACAGTACCTTGTTTTCAATCTAACTGCAAGCAATATCTCAAGCTGACCAGGATCAGAGTTGATGCATAGACGTCTTGCTGCTGCCAGGAAGGGCACGGAAAAAGAACATGACAAAAATGACAAGATGGCAGAAACAGTGCCCTCCAAAGAAATGTTGTGCTCCACCCAATGCCATCATCTGTTCCAGCTGCAGAAAGCACAACTGATATTCAATCCAGCAAGTGACATACAGCTGACCCACAGGCCAGTCTCCAGAGTGACAGATTGCATCATTGACCTGTTTGTTTTTTTAGCCCAACTGAAGATAAGAATTCTCCATATTAACCTCCTCCCACCCTGCTTAATTTCAAGTTATGTGCACATGTTGTTTCATTTTCCTCCATCAGCTTCCTTTTAAATGAAAGACTGACATTTATACACCCATTACAATCAGCAGACATCCCGAAGAAGTTTACAAACTTTTCTGAAGTGTATTCATTATTGTTCATGTATGAAACGCAGCCACTCATGTTTCACACCCCAAACTCATCAAAAAGCAATATGATAATAACCTAAAATAATCTGTTTTGTGATGTTAATGAGGAATGGGACTAACTCTCCAACCCTTCTTTGAAATAATGTCATGGGAGCTTTTACATCTACCTCAGAAAGCAGATGGGCTGTTGTCATAATGTCTCATTTAAAAGGCAGCATCTCAAACAGTGGGGAACTCCCTCAGTATCACATTGGAGTATCAATGTCGATTTCTGTGCTGAACTAAGAGACACTTAAACCCACAACTTATTGACTCAGAGGCAAAGGGCTAGCCACCAAGGATAGCCAGTACTCAATAAAGGGGAAGGTATATCATGCAACCGAATGGGTTTAAGAGACCTGATCTATCTCCAAGGAACAAACTAAAGACGTGAGCTTCCCAACGGTAAGTGTTAACGGTTCAGTATCGGACAGGGGCCGCTCAATCCCCGAATGTGCTCACACCCACTGTAACCGCTTACCAGGTGCATAGGGAATGACTTCAGTTTGGAAAGCATCTTCAAAACTTCAACCTGCCGCCCCTAATACTTCATACTCGCTCTTGTTTGAAGAAGGGGCTATCTCTAAGCAGACTTGTCGTAAGAAATCAATGCTTTATTGTGTGGGGTTGAATCACACCATGTATAATTAGTAATGAATATTTTAAAATGTGTTCATGGGGAACTCTTTGGTTCATTACGGAATCTTTAAATACATTGCTATATTAAATATTCAGTGATAATAATTGGAAGAATATTTTTGTTTTATTTACTTCCTTGGTCCTCATATTAATTTATGCTTTTTTTTGTCTTATTCATGATAAACAGAAAGATATTCACAAGTATGCTGTAGCTCTCATCACCATAATGATAATTCCTGAAATTTAATAATAACACATCGCCTATGAGCAATTTTGTAGAATTAATAAAAACGATTTATAATTCTTCAGTCATCAGGAACTTTAACAAATATTCGATCATTTATATTTTGCATTAATTCTCTTATTTCACTGTATACTGTTTACCTTAACAAGCACAGTCTCAAGTTTATAACTGGGGAGGTGACTTAAATTTTCCCAAAAATAACATAATCCAGAAGTTATAATTTCACATTGAGACTCCTCAACTGTATTGTTGTTATTTGTTATTGTCTTGATTAACAGTTACATTTTCCCCAACCTGTAAACTTTTACTTGTATATCTGTAATGCGTGAAAAAATGAGCATTTGTACAATCATGCTCAATTAACACTGAGTGGTATATGACAATTAAAAATGAAAATCTCTTTTCAAATGCTATCTCTGCAGAGCTATAATCTGCAATCTTTCATGGTAATAAACACTCACATAGTTCTTGAGCAATACAACAACAGATGTTTCATATTTATCTTTATAGTCTATGCTATTAAACTGAAACATCATCTTGGTTGCTATGTTGAAGAGGTTTAACTTACCAAATACATCTCCCCTGGGATTCAGCTCCTCAGAGTCAATGTAGTTCTCAATCTCATCTGCTGTGCTCTCATAACCGAGATCAAGTTCTTTCTCATCGTGGTTCCCAAAGTAAATACTATCCTCATAGTCAAATGGCTGGAGACGGTCCTGGGGATGGGGCGTGGCTACAGGTTGAGGAATAATGTTCTTTATCACTTCACTCTTTCTCCCATTATTTCTGTTTGCCAGGATTTTCTTTATCTCTTTTCTGCCTCCTCCCAAAATCACAGGCCCCTCTTCGTAAGGGATTTCAGGTACAACTGAGAGAGAAATATTTAATATATTATATAATATTTGTGCACAGCATCTTCAAATCTATAATCTGACCAAAAGAAACACATATCGAGTTCTTTTTTATTAATACTATCGAGGGTCCAATTTTCTTTCCATGAATTCTTACGGCATCTCATCTTGTTTTTCAAAAAAAAATTTCAAAGTCGTGCAGAACAGAAACAGACACTTCAGTCCAACCAATCTGTGCCAACCATAATCCCAAACTAAACTAGCCAAATCTGCCTGCACTTGGCCGTTAACCCTCCAAAGATCTCTCATTCATGTACTTATCTAAATGTCTTTTAAATGAACCAAGTAATTGTACCTGCATCCACCACTTCCTCTGCAAAGTTTGTTCCACACACGAATCACTCTCTGTGTAAATCCCGTTTGTCTTTCTTTGTTAACCCTCCAAACCCATATCATTTTATTAGCTAACAGGCTCAATAGATGAGAGCTGTCAATACTCCAGGAAATGAATATGAATCTTCGGGATGCTGCTGTAAGCAACTCAGGAAAATAATCATGAGCATATTTTTTAAAAATGTAATTTTAACTCCTTTTCTTCTGGGCTCTGCATTAGCCAAGGTTCTGGATGCATAGAGTATTGGGTGTTCCTCTCCATTAAGCCACATATGAACTATTACTACCCCGATGCTGTATGGGGAGGCATCACATGTCAATATCAGACTTCGCTTGGAATCATAGTGTGCCAACACCTTAGAGGATGAAAGCAGTTTCTTCACCTTCCAGAAAGCCATGGCTTGTCTATGTGACCTTTACCAAGGCTGATCCTTTTTTAAAGAGTTGATGCAAGGTTTCCAGGATGGAGGCCAGGTTATATATTAACTTCCCATAATAATTCACCAGCCCAAGGGAAAGCCTAAGCTCCAGTACAGATGTGGGAGCCAGGGCACCTTTGATCACCCTCACTTTATCTTCCAATGGGTGTAATCCAGTTTTGTCAACTCTGTAACCCAAGTAGATCACTTGGGGCACCTGGAACACACATTTTTGCCTTCTAAGGCATACATCCACCAGGAGAAACATCTAAGGACTGAGTCCAAGTTCTGAAAATGCTCCTTATTGGTCTCCCCTGTTATTAACATGTCATCTAGGGATGGGCAAGAAATGCTGGTCAGCCAGCGACACCGACATCCCACAAATGATTAGTAAAAAAAGGTCCAGATAAATGGTGACCTTGTAAAATGCTCTCCACCATCTGCTAAAAGATTGCGCAGGCTGATGGTACCTCAAATGGCAGTCTCATATATTGGTACAAACCTTTACGGGAATTAATTGTAGCATTCTTCTGGAAATCCTCATCGAACTGCAGTTGTGAGTACACATGATTCATGTCCAGCTTCGTGAAGGACAGTGCCTTCTGCGACTGCATGTAAATCCTCACTGCCAGGGATTGGGTATCCAACCAGTTGTGAAAAGTGGTTGACTGTTTGTTTAAAGTCCCCACAAAGACGAACCTACCCATTGAGCTTCACAAGCAAATCTTTCTTCTAAATCTGCTGATACATCTGTGCTAATGTATGTAAGCTTCTAACATTTGAATATCTTTGGACATCTTAATTCACCCTCTGTGAATGTCTTCCTGGTGAAATAGAGATTTTCATATCTGTAACGAAGGATTGTGTTTATTTACAATTATCTGACTGGCACTGATCTCTCTTTTTTGAAAGACAAAAGGTTATGGCCTTGTGCTTGAACTTGTGTTAACTCATCATCTAACATGAAAACCAAACCTGCTGTATCAATTTGTTCAGCAGATTACTTTGCTCTCTCATCGGCTGTGTTTTTATTAACTCATAAGGTGTGAGTGACCAGCATTTATTGTTAATCTCTAATTGCCCTTGAGAAGGTGGTGGCAAACTGTCTTTTTGGACCATTGCAATCCTTGGGGTGTAGAATACACCCAGGGTGCTTTTAGGGAGGATGTTTCAGTATTTTGACTCAGTGACAATGAGAATTCTATGTCATGATGTTATATGACCTTGAAGGGAACTTACAGGCGGTTGTGTTCCCATTCACTTGCTACCCTTGTCTTTCCAGGTGGTAGAAATTGCAGGTTTAGAATATGGTTGTCTAAGGAGCTTTGGTGAATTTCTGCAGTGCACATTGTAAATATGGAGGAAGTGAATGATTCTTTAATGTGTTAATCAAGTGGGCTGCTTTGTCCTGGAGGTTGCTGAGCATCTTGACTGTTGGAAGTGTACCTATCTAGACAAGGGAAGCATGTTCCATCATATTCCTGACCTGTGTCTTTCACACAGCAGCAGGTGAGCCAACTCCATTCAAATTTAGCAAAACTTCAATCAAAGATTTGTCAATGAGCTGAAATGCATTTTACTACCTGTTCTTGTTCTCAGTATTTGCTTCCTTTTTTAATTTGTTCATGGCATGTGGGCATTGGAGAGATCTTTTCCAATTGATTAAGTTCTGTCACATTTAACATCTTCGTATGAGCAAGCATTTGGTGTTTTTGCAGCTATGAAAATGAATCCTACTTTGGCAATCTTCTGCAAGTCATGAATAGTTTCACAGATGTAGCATACTTTTTTGTCATAATTGGGCACTGTTTGTGCATGTAAAGCTTCTTTGTTTCACTGCATTCGTAATATCTTCCTTTTGGCCTACTTCGTATGTTGGTTCATCACGTGTATCTGTGGAGTATTTGTACCTTTATAAAGTGGATAGCTTTTGTTAGTCCTCTGTGACAATGTTGTCTTTCTCCTCTTAACATTTGCCTGTAACTATTCTGGTTTCCTGGTTTCCAGTTTCACTTGAAAAATTTTTCAAAGTCAAATCTTCTTTGGACTGGAATAAATCTGATAAAGACTCATCAGTAATTCCAGTAACAATTCCGACTTTTATGAGTTCTGATTTCAAAATTTGATAGTCACAGTTTTCCGTTAATCTGCAGAGACCATTTAATAAATTATCTATGAATTTCACGTGGATGCTTAACTCTGTTTGAGAATTTTGCTTGTTCTCAGATTATGGAGCACAGAATTGTGTCGTCTTCATGGAAGGAACGGTGGTCTCCTTTAAAATTGCCTACAGTTTTAAATCTATCTCGGTATTTCTGCCGCAGGTGTGGGAATATTGATTATATATGGCAAAAGCATATGTTGTCTGGAATGGAAGGTTTGAGATATAAAAATAAACTGGAAAGACTGGGATTTATTTCACTGGAGCATAGGAAGTTGAGGGGTGACCTTATTGAGGTTTATAAAATCACAAGGGCCATAGCTAAGTGACAAAGATCTTTTCCCTAGGGTGGGGGATTTCAAAACTAGGAGGCATATTTTTAAAGTGAGAAGAGAAAGGTTTAAAAAGGACATGAGAGGCAACATTTTTACACAGAGTGTGGTTCATATGTGGAATGAACTGCCAGAGAAAGTGGTGGGTGCAGGTACGGTTACAATGTTTAAAAGACATTTGGATAAATTCATGAATAGGAAAGGTTTGGAGGGATATGGGCCAACAGATGTAGGTGAGACTAGTTTAGTTTGGGAACATGATCAGTGTGGACTGAAGGGTCTTGTTTCCATGATGTATAACACTGTGACTTTATGTGTAGAGGATATTTGACAGATTGCAAAATAATCACTACGTTCTCACCATTGAGGATTTCATCATCGGCACTGCCTTGTTCTGTCTCAAAGGTTCCTTCGAGGAAAGGTTTAACTATAAAAGAAAGATTTGTTTATCAACTTCTTATAGATTGTTGTTTGTTGTATCTGAGCAAAAAAGAAACTTTACATATATTTGTTGTATTTCAGTAAAAACAATTAGGAGAGGACAAACATAACAGTCAACTGCTAGTATGAGAGCACACTTTGGCCCTTTTAAGTTGGTTGAAGATTATATGGTAAGCCATCCTCGAGCTTGCATCACTGACACTTCAGAACTAACCACTGACTATCAGAACGTTGAAGCTAATGCCTCTAAAGACCTTATTATTTGGCACTAAAACTTCCAAGGTGGCTTTGCAGGTATTCAAAATAGTATGCCCTTTTACTTTGCGCTATCTTGACAGCCCATTTCTGTCCATCCATCCTGTGTGGAGACTCACCACATTGAACTTCGCCCCAACTCTCCTCCCTGACCCCGAACCCTGACATTACAACTTAATGATGCCCACCCTGCTCCTCCATGCTCCCCTGTGGAAGCCACGGTGGGTGGACACTGCCATTAAACATCCTCCCCTCGCCTACCATGCCCTCCAATGCTGTTCTGCATTGGCTCCCTTCTTGTCATCCTCATTGTCCTCACCTCAACAAATTCCACTGCTTCCCTCCAGGCCCAGCCTTGAATCCCCCCAACGGCCCCCCCCCCCCCCCTGCTTCTGGCAGTGATTCTTCCACTGCCCCTCATTGCACCCTCCTGAAAGTTTGTCAGATGGACCTTCGAACTGTATTCACTCCAGACCTTGGACTGATTTTGAGGAGCAGCCCCTAGGCATGACTGACCTGAACACTGAACACTATATTTGCAGCTCCCACACCCACCCCCCACCCCGAACCGCTGGTACGCAATTCTCCTGACTTCTTGTGCTAGCCCTGCAGGATTGGCTGCTGGACATCCCTGGACTGTACAAGGACAGATGCCCTGATGGTGAGTATGCCAATCAGATGACTGACCTTGATGTAGAGTGTGCCAGTGACTGAGGATACCGGGAGATTTTGACAGATAGGAGACCCCCACCACTTGACTGGACTGAGGATGCATCCCTAGCAGTTCTTGTCTTGGCATTTGCTTTAATGAATATGTAATGTGTTGTCAGGCAGGCACATGCTGTAGGTGTTAAATTGACATCTTGGTGTGCTGTAGAGCAAGACATTTCCCACCCCTGGACATATACCTACTAACAAGCACAACGAGGCTGTATCTGTGCTAAAGAGCAACTCAATACATCAGGATTGGATCTGCCTAGAGATCCAATGCACTTTCAAATATAGTATGGCAAGGCATAGAAACTGTGAACACTAAGAGAGCCAGCGAACCACCTAGTCCAACCCTTGATTGGGGTACCTCTCTATGCACGCAGTGTCCCTTCACTGCAGCCTTTCAGTGATAGCTGCCAGAGTGCCATGCAATGTGACTCTGTAAGCGGCCTGCAACTATATCAGAGAGGTGCCATGACTGGCACATGCTGGATGCCAATGTCTGTGGATGGGGGTGCATGTAGGTTGTGTCCTGAAATGTACTTTGGTTGAACACGATTTGGAGGTCATTCAGAGCAAGCCTTGAGCTGAATCCACCAAATACCAGCTGCAGTATCCATTTTGAGTTTTCTTGACACTTCGTTTGTGGGGGGAGAGTGGTAAGATAGAAAGCTGAATATTAATTAGGCATGCTGGGCTGTCAACAAGGTGATGAACAAGCAATAATCCCCTGTAATTTGCAACATGCACTGCCCTAGTGTGAAACTCGCTATACTATTTATAGAAAGCATAAAAGGTGCAGTGATGCCCCCACCATTGACATAGGCCTCATTGCACTTCTCTTCTGATTCATTCACAAACCTTATCCTTGCCCATGTTGCTCAGACCCTTACACGATTCCATCCTCTGACTTTGGGTTCAACACAGACTGGTCAAGGTGGATGCAAAGTCAAGAACTGTCTTGAGGCTTAAACTTCAAAGTAATGTTATCTATTATACTTTCAGATTAAATACTACTATTTATAGTAACATAGTTGGACCACGTTCTGATCTTAGATTAGTGCTTACTTAATGTATTTTGTTTATGTGTTCATCTCCGTGAGGTTTTAAGACTCTCTCCCATTCTAAAGTGTATTGTAGTGGTCTTGTCTGTTCTGACTGTGCCCGCTCTGTACTATTTGTGCCTGTATTGTGCAGCTATCATTGCAAGCTTCCTCCAGGGTCCCAAATCCATTAAACACCAGGCAACATTGAAATAGACCTGCAGCACTGGAGAGACCCGGAGCATTAAATGGCCCAAGGCTCTGGAAGGTATTGGCAATTAGAAAGGCTTGGCAGTCTGGAGTTCAGGAGAGGTTTGGACATTCTGTGATTCTGTATAGTTATGTGAAGTGAGGCTGTACAGCCATTGTATTTTAATAATTCCTTTCTTCACCTCATCCTTCCCTGTTTCTATAACCTCTGCCCATTGTACAAAACCACCCAGTGAACTCTGAACTCTTCCCACTCTGATCTCTAATGTATGGTCTCCTTCTTTCTCACTACCATTGGTAGCCAAGGGCTTCAAAGTCATGTCCATTTCTTGGGAATTCTCTCCCTCAAGCCCTTTATCTCTCCACTTCTTCCTCATCATTTAAGACCCACCTTAAAACCAGCCTGATGATTTTTCTCATTGTTGACTATACATCCTTTTTCACTCTACATCTTGATTAAATTCTATCTCCGTTAGATGCAGGTTATAATTTGTGTTTTCACAGATTCAGGTACAACCATGAGTTCAATATAGCATATGTTTAATATGGTCTTGTTTATGTTTTAAAAGGAGGGAAGATTCAATTTGCGTCGCGTATGGGGTCTACGTACTCTTAACGGGAGTTTGAATAAGGAACTTTATTTTTCAGGAGCAGATGTCACAATATTTTAAGCAGCTCTTGGAGGGGGAGTCATGCAACCGATGATGATCCTAATATGTGCAAAATCTCTCTTCTGAGGAATAAGCCAGGAATGTGTGCTCTTGGACCACAGCCTCTAAGACCGGCAGTGAGGGTTATACATGAGTATTACACACACAACTGTATCCAATGTCAAATCTAGAACAACACATAGATGGCTTGGTGGCAGTGTAATGTCACCTATGCTAGAGTCCTTCATACCATCCTAACAAGCCCTGGACATCGAAAACTAAATAAGCCATCAGCAGTAAGTAAGTTAACAACAGTCTGTGAGAAAATTCTTCTTTTCATACACATCTTCATTCTCCAGGATTGGAACCGAGAATACACCTCTTCCCACCCACCTTCCTGCAAAAATGCCATCCCCTATTCCCAATTCCTTTGCCTCCGCCGCATCTGCTCCCAGGATGAGGCATTCCACTCCTGAACATCTCAGATGTCCTCGTTTTTCAAGGACTGCAACTTCCCCCCCTCAGTGGTTGACAAGGCCCTCGACCGAGTCTCCCGCATTTCCCGCAACTCATCCCTCACACCTGCTCCCCGCAATAACAACCAAAAAAGAATTCCCCTCGTCCTCACGTACCACCCCACCAACCTCCGGATCCAACACATCATCCTCCGACACTTCCGCCATCTGCAATCCGACCCCACCACCAAAGACATGTTTCCCTCCCCACCCTTATCTGCTTTCCGGAGGGACTACTCTCTCTGGGACTCCCTTGTCCGCTCCACACTCCCCTCCAGCCCCACCACACCCGGCAATTTTCCCTGCAACCGCAGGAAGTGCTAACCTGCCCCTACACCTCCCCCCTCACCCCCATCCCAGGCCCCAAGAAGACTTTCCACATCAAACAGATGTTCACCTGCACATCTGCTAATGTGGTATACTGCATCCGCTGTTCCCGTTGTGGCCTCCTCTACATGGGGGAAACCTAGTGGAGGCTTGGGGACTGCTTTGCGGAACACCTACGCTCGGTTCGCACTAAACAACTGCACCTCCCAGTTACGAACCACTTCAACTCCCCCTCCCATTCCTCAGACGATATGTCCATCCTGGATCTCCCGCACTGCCACAACGATGCCACCCGAAGGTTGCAGGAACAGCACCTCATATTTTGCTTGGGAACCCTGCAGCCTAATGGTATTAATGTGGACTTCACAAGCTTCAAAATCTCCCCTCCCCCAACCGTATCCCAAAACCAGCCCAGCTTGTCCCTGCCTCCCTAACCTGTACTTCCTCCCACCTAACCCCTCCTCCCACCTCAAGCCCCACCCCCATCTCCTACCTACCAGCCTCATCCCGCCCCCTTGACCTGTCCGTCCTCCCTGGACTGACCTATCCCCTCCCTAACTCCCCACCTACACTTACCTTTACTGGCTCCATCCCCGCCTCTTGACCTGTCTGTCTCCTCTCCACCTATCTTCTCCTTTATCCATCTTCTATCCACCTCCCCCTCTCTCCCTATTTATTTCAGAACCCTTTTCTGAAAAAGGGTCTAGGCCCGAAACGTCAGCTTTCCTGCTCCTCTGATGCTGCTTGGCCTGCTGTGTTCATTCAGCTCTACACCTTGTTATCTCTTGGAGCCTATGGATTTAATTGAATGTTCTGAAGGATTTATCTATGATCTGTTTGTCGGATTAGTACCAGGTTTGGTTAAACAACTTTCTCCATAATAAAATTATGCTAATTTTCTATTGATTTCATAAGATTATAACGTACAATACACTTTATGAGCCATACAAACAAACCTAGATCAATCTCTTCATACTTAAGATGCTTTCGATGTAACGATGTTGACACAGCTGTACACCTTTTAACTTGCATTAGTTGAGAACCAAGCAAAACCTTTTGGTTTCAAAGAATGTTCTCAATGAAAGAGGTTTCTAGCATTTTTTAATATGCTTGATTTACACTTCTTAATTCTGGTGGATTAATGTTTTACAGTTTCTTAGTATAAACTATAAGGCAGTTTGAGTCGAGAATTTGCTTAATATTTTGTAACTCTGTGAGACGGAGTAACATTTTACTTGGCGATAGAAATAAACTATTTGAAAGAAGAAAAGACTA